ATGCAAAAATTCTCAACAAAATATTAGCAAACAATCCAATAGCACATATAAAAGATCATACACTATGATCAAGTTGGATTCATCCCAGGGACACAAGGATGGTTCAACACACACAAATCAATCAGTGTGATACAATACATCAATCAAAGAGAGGACAAAAATCACATGATCATCTCAATAGATGCAGAAAAAGCATTTGATAAAATTCAACATCCATTTATGATAAAAACTTACCAAAGTGGGTATAGAGGGAACATATCTCAACATAATAAAAGCTATTTATGACAAACCCACAGCCAACATAATACTCAACAGTAAAAAGCCTTCCTACTAAATTCTGGAACAAGACAAGGACGCCAACTCTCACTACTTCTATTCACCATAGTATTGGAAATCCCAGCCTTAGCAGTCAGACAAGAAAAAGAAATAAAAGGATCCAAACTGAAAGAGAACAGGTAAAATTGTCACTATATGCAGGTGACATGATACTATATATAGAAAACCCCAAAAGCTCCACACAAAAACTACTACAGCTGATAAAAGAATTCAACAATGTAGCAGGATACATGATTAACATACAGAAATCAGTTGCATTTCTTTACACTAACAATGAATGCCAGAAAAAGAAAGTAAAAAAAAAAAAATCTCTTTAAAATCTCATAAAAATTACTTAGGAATAAACTTGACAAAGGAGATGAAAGACTTATACACAGAGAACTACAAAACATTGATTGAGGAAATTAAAGATGATTTAAAGAAATGGAAAGATATCTCATGCTCTTGGATCAGAAGAAGTAATATTGTTAAAATGGCCATACTGCCCAAAGCAATCTACAGATTTAATGTGATCCCTATCAAATCATCTAGGACACTTTTCACAGAACTAGAACAAATAATCCTAAAATTTATATGGAATTACAAAAGACTAAGAATTCCCAAAACGATACTGAAGAAAAAGAATGAAGCTGGAGGAATAACCCTTCCAGACTTCAGATAATACTACAGAGCTACAGTAATCAAAACAGTGTGGTATTGGCACAAAAACAGACACATGGATTAATAGAGAGCCTAGAAATAAATCCATAGACTTGTGCCCAATTAATCTTTACCAAAGGAGGCAAGAATATACAATGGAGAAAAGACAGTCTCTTCTTAATGTTGAATCAACTTTGCATTACTAGAATAAACCCTACTTGTTATTCACTATTATGTATTTTTTAAACTACTTGATGCAATTAATTTTGTTTAGACTTTTGCTCCCATGTTCATAAGTAATATTTGTCTATTATGAAGTATTACAATTACAATAATTTCATAAGACAAAATGGACTAGGACACATTCTAATGCCCTCATCTGAAATTAATTAAAAATGTATAGATCCTATTTCCAAATAAGGTCAACATTCTGAGGTACTGGGAGTTAGGACTTCAATGTATCTTTTCTGGGGAACAAAATTCAACTCATAGCAGTATCAAAGAAGAATTTCTACAATTATCTGAAAAGGCTATTGAAATACTTCTGTGGCTAACACACATCCATGTGAGGCCAGATTTTCTTCATATACTGCAACCAAAACAACGTATCATAACAGATTGTGAATACACAAAATCACATATGAGAATACAACTGTCTTCTATTATCTTTACAGAGATTTGAAAAAATGTAAAATAATGCCAGTGTTCTCATTAAGTTTTTGTAATTTGGAAAATGTGATTATTTTTCATAAAATATGCTATTTATGTTAACATTTAATAGATGTTCTACAAAATCCAGCTGTTTCAGGCTCCCTGGACTCTGATCTGTCTCCTCTGTCCCTTGAGACCACTGTTTCCCCTCCCTTTCCAGGTTTGGTAATTGCTTCCAGGTAGAATGCCTTTTTACCCTGGGTTTCTGGAAGGCAGTGCACAATGTACATTGCTTTCATCATGAGGCCTACCGCTGATCTGCTCTTCCATCAATTACACCTACCACTCCCCCACTGAATCATTCCAAAATGTAAGCTCTGTGAAGGTAGGTAGTTTTGTCTGTTTTGTTCACTGATGTATCCTCAGTGTCTAGAACAGTGCTTAGGACACAGGAGGAGGTGTTGGACAATTTGTTAATGCATTCAACGAAGGTGTGAATTTTTATGCTGGTTATAACAGGACTTGCATTTAAACATTTGATAGGGAGAAAATAATACCTTAAAGAGAAATATAAACATTTAAATTACTTATTATTTATGTCACCTGTGTCTATGGCTACCTCAGATTAGGAGTTGATGCTGACTGTTTACAACAATAATAAAGCCGCCCTTTATATGTACATATAATCTCATTTAGTTGAGATTTGATCCCAGGTCGATCATATCCCAGTCCCAGGTACTTATCACTGGCTTCAGTGCTGTTCTGAGGACCAGTGAGGAAAACTGGTCTATATTCTTATACCTCTGATTACTCTATTGTGTCATGGAACACCATGAAGCATCTCAGTCTGGTTCCAAAGCAGTAACATTTCAGCAGAAATCGATATATTTTTTGAGATTTTTGTTAAAAGCAGAAAAGTCCTTTTAATTGGGCTTATGCAATCAGAGCATACAATGAATTTAAGGAAAGCTTCATAACATATGGCATTCTGATGTCTTTGAAGTGTGGTTTGGTGGGACCGGCAGTGAACACGAAGAGGAGGTATGATTTAGAAGAAAGCTGTTGGGGGTGTTGTGTTGCAAATAAAATCTAAGTAGGCACTTTGCAATTCACTGTTCTGTTTCTTTTCTTTTCTTTCTTTTTTTCTTTTTTTCTGGTGTTTTACTGCTGCCTTTCATTCCCAAACACTATAAATGTTCCTTGCTAGTTTCCATTCTAAATTCAATCTCCACCGTGTTCTCTCCAAGAATCTGACACTTCTTTCTCAGGGTGTCCTGAAAAGAAGGAATGTCACAGCTTAGATAAATAAGGGGGTGGGAGAGTGGTCTGTCTGAGGGAATGTGTCGCAGACTCCACCATCTCATCCCTAAATGGCAGCATTTGGATTAAATGACCTCTAAATTCTTCCAGACCTGTAAATCTACCATCCTACAGGGATTATATTTGACTCTGATTCGAACTCATCAAATCTGATACATGTTCATGTCCAATTGCTTATTAAAGTATTCCTCTCCTGGCAGTGATACAGACTGAAAAGGGTAGGTGTTTTTCGGGGCTTTCATGCTGTTATTCTGTTTTTACAGTTGGCTGACCGCCAGTCTAAGAGGACTTGTCAGAGCTGTCATTCCAGGCCTGGGGTCAAGGCCTAAACTGCTCAGGTGGGAAGACAGGAGGCAGCAAGGCGTCCACGCAGACAGCAGCCCACAGATCTGCAGTCACAGTGATGCCCTCGGTTTGGGGCTATCAAGCCCCTGCTTTTCAAAGCGAAGTCTCAGGGCCAGCAACAAATGCGTCATCTCACAGTTTGTTAGAGTATCGGGCTCCTCCCCAGACCTGCAGGACCAGAGTCTGCGTATTTAGGAGATTTCCGGGCGTTTTGTGGGCACAGCAAAAGTTTGAGAAACCCTTAGTTAGACCTTTAGACCACCCTTACCTTGAGCTTCAGTGTGACACGAGCCCTGTATTAGCTGAGCGTCGGCTGTCCCACTGCAGGAGCGCGCGGAGCCTAGGCACTCCTGGCCACTCAACATCCGCGGGGAGCCGGATGCGAGGCGCCGCGACTCCCTCTGCAGCCCCGCTGCAGCCCGGCGGCTCTTCCCCGGGATCCGGCAGCGCCAACTCCCCGCCCAAGGCCCCCAGACCCCGCCGCCATTCCCCGTGCGCCGCGAGGGCGCGAGAGAAAGCCGCCCCGGCGCCCGCCCCGCCCGCGGCTCCGCGCGCAGCGCGCCTACCTCTCGGGTCCCCGCGCTGTCTCCTCGCGGCCATGGGGCGCCGGGAGCTCCCTCTGCTCCTGCCGACGCTGCTGGCTGTGCTGGGCGGCCTCGAGGGCTCAGCGGCCGGTGAGTGGGGCCCGCGGACCCGCCCTGGGAGGGAGCTCATCCCGCTCTGCTGGCTGCGGGGTTGCTGGGTAGGGTCGGAGGAGGGCTGGGAGCACCCTCGCTGGCTGGGCGCGGCGTGTCCCCCGTCCTGTGACCTTTGATCCGGGAGGGCGAGGCTGGGCCATCTGGAAGGGGCCCCTGCTTCTCCGCTCTTTACTCCTTGATAATTCTGCTCAGTGAGTGGGAGGGAGGGGCGGTGGGCTCAGCGGACAAATTCCTCGACTTTTTCTCTTCGTTTCTCAGGAGCGCACTCACTCTCTTAGGCTATTCCTTCCCCCAAAGTTGAGGCGAGTGGGATTGGCTTTCTTGCCCTGGTCTCCGACAGGGACCCGCTGCTGCCCGGGGTTTCATCAGGCAGCAAATTTAACCTCTTGGCGGCCCGGGTTTGGGGAAGAGGTGCCTCCCTCGAGAAAGCCCCGGAGGAAATGGGGCTTGGGCCCGGGGTCAGGTGTCCTCCTGGACCCACAAAAGTCAAGAATTCTCATGGCTTTGCTTCTTGGTCATCCAACGCAGATGAAATACAGTGTAATGTGACGAGGCAAGCTGCATGTGGTGGGGGATGCATTCCTGTGGCCTGGCTCTGCAACGGGGAGCAGGAGTGCCTGGATGGGACGGATGAGCAGTGTGGTAGGCACTTCTCTCTGCTGTGTCGTGTCAAATGTCTTCCTGAAATAAAGTCAAGTACTTCTCTGTGCCAAGAGAGCTCAGATCCCCAGGAGGGACGCCAGAGCACCTGTAAGGGAAGGAAAGCCTCTTAAAAGATACCTGGCATCCCTGGGCAGTGAATATGGAAGGGAACAGTCCTCGTTAAAACAGGAAAACCCAGCTGTACTTGGTGAGGGCTATGTTCCTTTTTTCCACCTACATGCACATTCCTGGGGTCATCACTTAACTGTACCTAATTTAACATAAAACCTGGGATATCAAAACGTGTACTATTACAGGTTCGAGTAAAATTTTATACTTGCAGAAATCCTCGGCCCTCCATACACTTCACCCCAGCTCCCCAAGTTTACTTGCTTCAGCCAGTAGGCAGACTTAGGTGGAAGTATTTGAAAGTCTAATTAAACCTCAAGGCCCAGTTCCCAGGTTGCCTTACATCTTAATATAGTCTCAGATTCCAAAGGAGTTCAAAGAAGTGAATCTGTAAAACTGGACTGCCCACTACAGTGGCCACTAGCCACATGTGAGGATTTAAATTTATTTAAATGAATACAATAAAAAATTCAGTTTGTTTATCATAGTAGCCACATTTCAAGTGCTCAAAACACATGTGACTGGTGGCTGCCATTTTGGACAACACAGAGATAAAATGCTTCCGTTGTCACAGAAGGTTTTTTTGGACAGTGGTGTTCTGGATGAATGATGAGGAGGATATGTTTATTGATCTGCTAGGTGATGGTCCCTGAGGAAGGGGTACTGAATTGTAGCATAAGAAGTAACGCAAAAAGGACAGGCAAGTTTAGGGTTGACTCCAGTGGCACATCAGGAGTTATTCCTTTGTTAATTAAAATACTTAATATGAAATCCAAATTTAAAAGACGCTAGTGCCCTGACAAACACCCCTTCCTTTCTGCTTCTTATTGAACATGCTGCTGGCCCGCAGAAGAAATATGTCGTGGACACCCACAGGCCTGGCAGTGTGATGATGGAAAATGTATTTCTATTAGCTGGCTTTGTGATGGTGTTGGTGACTGCTTAGATGGCTCCGATGAGGTTAACTGTGGTAGGTACAACTTATGTTTACCTTCAGTCACATTCTGTTTATTAACAGCATTGGTTAACATCAATAGTATAAAGTGAAACAAGCCCATCATTAAATAGCCTGCCATACGTGCTAAACCCAGACATTAAATTGTCTCTGGTGTCACAGGTGCCTGTTTTTCCCCACTTACTCATTTTTCAAAATGACCTAAGGTTAAAAAGATTATTAGCTTTATTGACTTAAAAAATTATTTGGGGGTGAAACTTCAGAATACAAACTTGTGGCCACATCTCCAATGGCTACCAGCCCTTTCAGGTCTTGGTTTTCTATAGATTAAATTCATCAGCAAACCATAAATACCTAAATAAACAAGCCCGTGGGACAGCAGTGCGACCTCCCTGAGCCAACTCCTGCCTTTTAGAGAGACTGACAGCACGTCCGGACCAAAAAATCCAGTGCCCAGGAGATTCTCTGTGTCGCGATGCTTGGGAACTCTGTGATGCCGATAAGGGCTGTGAAGGTGGGCTGGACGAAGCACGCGGCCCCCGGACCGGCTGCATGGCTGGGCAGTGGCAGTGCAGGAACGGCTTGTGTATCGTCCACCACTGGAGGTGCGATGGCCTCAACCACTGCGGGGACTCCTCAGATGAGGAGGTCTGTGGTGAGTCCTACTCTACCCCCACCTTTTGTCTAACGGGAAGGTTGTACTATGTTGGCTGCTTTCTGCAAGTTGTGGTTTCATTCCTATGGCTGAGACTGCCATCCTAGATCTAAAAACAGGATGTTTGCTAGCAATAACCAAGATTTAGTTACCCTTGGAAACATAAAGCAGTGCTTAAATAGTAACTCTGCAGCGGACACTCTAAGCATGGCCTCGAATGTTCCCACCATTCAGTTCTGGCCAACGCACAGAGCACCTGAGCATCAGTATTTGAAGGAAGCCTCCTAACAGATGCCTTACATCCTTGTGTAGTGAATATGGAAGAACACTCCTCACTAAAAAAAGAAAACCCCCAAAGAACTCGGTGAGCACTATAATCCTTTTTTTTTTACCTGAAACACACAGTGTAGTGGAATCCCCAACGTTTTAGTGAACCACAATTCTATTCACCCTTTCTTTTCTAGCATTAAATCTGTAATCTCAAATGTGTTCAGATTCTAACATTTTAATAATAATTTATAACCTGGCTTCTTAAGAGAATATTTCTTTTAGGGCTAGTATTATCTGAATTTAATACCATGTCAATCAGTAATATTTAATACTACTTCAGTTCAAATTTAATATTATTTCAATCCAGGGCCCAGAGGTCTTAACATCTTTGATATCAAGTCCAAATTCCTGAAAACTCTGCTCAAAAAGATAAAAATAATTCTTTCCTACCCAGACTTGCATTGGGTTGGTAGAAATATTGCCACTTTCCTTACCCACTGTAAGCACTGTCTATTTTTACCACCACCCTGAGTATTAATGAAAAAGAATGCTTATATATAAAACAGATAAACAACAAGTTCATACTGTATAGCACAGGGAACTCTATTCAATATCTTGTAGTAACTTATGGTGAAAAAGAATATGAAAACGAATGTATGCGTGTTCATGTACAACTGAAGCATTACACTGTACACCAGAAATTGACACAACATTGTAAACTGACTATACGTCAATAAAAAATATATATACAAAAAAAGAATGCTTAATTTCCTACACAGGGCCCTGTCCAGAAGGCATGGTTAGATGTGATGAGGGGAAATGCATCCTAGAATCCCTGATGTGTGATGGGGAAGCAGACTGTACCGACGGTACCGATGAACATGCCACATGTGGTAAGAAATCAATTGCTTGGCTTAACATGGAAAGGGGAGAGTAAGACTAGGTAACTGAGTGCCCCAGTTATCACCGGGGTCTACTCTCTGAGACAACACTTGGACTCAGACGCCTATGGGAGCAATTATCCTTCAGTGATGGAGCACTTACATTTCACAAGCTCCAACCCTTGGCTTTCGTCTCCCGAATGTGAGCCAATGCTCCTGAGCTATAAAAATCGCTGTTCTCATATTGTAGCTTTAAGGAAACAGACTAGCTCACCACCGCAAACAACACTGCTCCTAAAATTCTGGAATAAAGAACACAAACTTGCCACTGAGAAGCAATACATTTGTTCAAGACAAAAATGGCAAATTCTTTAAGAATTTAACTGAAAAAGGACCCAAGAAGACCATTTCCTGGTGAGGAGGGAGGCTTCTGAGCAAGCACCTCTGACTTTGAAACTCTTGTGGTTCTCATTGTAAAAATCACTGTTGGTTCCAGTTGGGGCAGAGGGAGGGGGGCATCTGCCCCCAGTCATTTTGTTGTCTGTCTCCTATTTCCCCCTCAAATCTGGTCTGAGACATTATGATGAAACCTCTCCAGTAATGTGAAAGGCCGCGAAAGAAGCTTTTCACAAAAGGAACACATAAGAGATACAAAAAGCATAAACAGTGACACACAAAATACAGGTTTCTGGTCCTGTATAGATAATTCACTGGGATTAGCAAATTATTGTATCATTTCCTGAGCTAAGGGCCTCACCTGCCCATAAATTCTAGAGAAAATACAGAAGAGGTCGCTGGTCCCTCCACAGGTGACCAATACACCAACATCTGGAATTGTCCAGACTGCCCGCCCAGAAGGAAACACCTTTCCCCTGCTCCGTGATTCCTAACTTTCCTTGTTTTCTGGTTTCCCCCAAAGCCTCCACATTCCTAGGTAAGAGGGCAGGGTCGAAGGTTATTCTTAACCAGTGTTACACTCCTCACACAAGCACAGAGGTTTGTGACACAATATGGTTTATAAGACGTCTGATCTTTACCATGGTCAACTGTACTGACCGCTGTCCTGTCTCTACCAGGTAAGAACTGCTCTCTGGCCAACGGGGGCTGTGAGGGGCCCTGCAGTGACACAGACTGGGGTGTTCAGTGCTCGTGTGGAGCTGGATGGCTATTACAGCCGGACGGTCAGAGCTGTGGAGGTCAGAATTCATTTGGCTCATCTTCAGAAGTTCTTGCAGTAGTAAAATATACATAACATAAAATTTACCATCTTAATAGTTTTTAAGTGTGTAATTCAGTGCCATCCACTACATTCACACTGCTGTGCAACTGTCACCACTATTCATTTCCAGAACTTTTGCATCATCCCCAACAGAAACTCTGTACCCATTAAACAGTAACTCTCTGTCCCTGCTCCCTGGGAACCTTCATCAACATTGTCTATGAATTTGCCTGTTCTCGTACTGCATGTAAGTGGAATCATACGGTATTTGTCCTTTGTGTCGGGCTAATTTTACTTAGCCTCTCTTTAAGGTGGATCCATGTTTTAGCATGTCTCAGAATGTCCTTCCTTCTTAAAGGCCAAATAGTATTCCAGTGTATGTAAACAGTTGGCTCTTTGTATCTGAAGGTTGAAGACGCTGGGTAAGGGGAATTCCAGATAGTTCCAGAAAGCAAAATTTGAATTTGCTGCATGCTAGCAACTATTTACATTGTATTAGGTATTGTAAGTAATCTAGAGATGGTTTAAAATGTATAGAAGGTTGTGTGTAGGTTATATGCTAATACCACACTATTTTATAGAAGAGACTTGAGCATCCATGGATTTTGGTATCCTTGGGGGTCCCAGAATCAACCCCTTGTGGGATGACTGTATACCACATTTTGTTTGTGGGATTATATACCACATCCACGCCTCTGATGCACACGTGGGTGGTTTCCACCCTTTGGCTGTGGTGGACATCGGTGTACATCCCTGCTTTCAATGCTCTTGGGTATATACCAGAAGTGGAACTCGCTGAGTCATATGGTAAATTCTATGTTTAACTTTTTGAGAAACTATCAAGCTGTTTTCCACAGTGGCTGCATCACTTGACATTAGCAATGTACGGGTTCTGATTTCTCTACATCCTTGCCACTCATTCTCAAATTAGGCTCCAGCTGGCTTGAGAAGAGCCATGTCCCCAAGAATGTTGCTAGGGTAACACAGATAAGTATACTGTACCAGTTAAACCTCTACATTGATGGTTCCCTACAGTGACGGTTCTGCTGAAACACAACCACATGGGTGGGAATTCTACGGAGGCAGCAACTTCTATCCCAGTACCCAGCGCAATGATCTCCACATATGACAGGTCTAGAGAGCACCTGAAAAGTGGCCCAAAAGAACAATAATACTCGAGATTGTTCCTCAGTCTTCTCTAATTTACAACTCTCTATCATCAGATGTGGATGAGTGTTCTACAGCATACAGCCCATGTGGCCAGCTGTGCATTAATACACCAGGCTCTTATTCCTGTGAGTGTATTCGAGGTTACCAGCTCTACAATGGCACCGACTGTCGAGTGACAGGTGAGCTTCAATACTGGAAGCAAAGCTGAGCTCCTGCTCTCTTCTCAGCAGTAGGTGTAGATAAAAGTGATGTAGACGATTCACTTTAAGGTTTGGTATTAGAGATGACACTACTCGTTCCATAAAGAAGCTGCTAATATTCATTGATCAGTTTTGAGTATCAGGTGCTATCAAGTGTCTGTAAAATGACTTAGGTTTTCTATAGGATAATACAGTTTGGGGCTCCAGAGACCCAACCAATAATCTCAACTTGTTCTGTGCTTCCTTAATGATGGGACACTTAATTACATTTGACTGCTATACACAAGGCATGGAGAAGGCTTCTGTCTAGGGGAGAAGGGCTGAATCTGAAATCAGGCAGAAAAGTTCCAAAGATTAGTTTTAACGTGCCAGGAGCTCAGAGGAGGAATTGAGGCTTCAGGTGGTCAGCTAGATCCGCTCTCGATCCACCTTAGTCCAGATTTCAGGGGTAAGTAGATTTTGGCATGGGCGATGGGACAGCATCTGTAGTTAAAGGTAATGGCATGGAAGGAAGTTTCACAGGAACGTGTCACTCCTACTTCTATTGCAGATGATGCTGTTAAAATTCTTACCGCAGCCAATGGAGAACTTGGTGTCTTGGATCAAAGAACAGGCATCTATGAGACTCTGATACCTATAAAATCAAGGCCTACTTCTGTTGCATATGATCTTGAGAGAAGCATGTACTTCTGGGTGGATGAAGTCTTAAATGTGTTTGTTCTTGGAAAGCCAAACTTTGTTCCTCTCTATCCAGGTATATTTCTTGATATTAAGAGCCCTAGATTCTTCAGGTTACTTAAACATAGTGTAGGAAGCATATGTGCTCATCTGGACAATTTCTGTAACTCCCTTGTCATGAATTATGAGAGTACATAAAATCCTGATTCGAGATACTGATTCTATGTAGTTTGGCTCTACGGGAGCTTTGTAGAGCATAACCTGAGAATGAAATTGCTATTAAGCAGTACTGAAAGTTTCAGGATGTGGCTCAGGACAAGTATTAGTCTCAGCCCCATCACGAGGTGTGCGACCTTGAGCAAGTTGTTAACTCCTTTGAACCACTGTGTACAAGATGAGGGTAATAGCCTTGGTTAAGTGTGAGGATTAAGCTAGACAATGCGTGGGAAGAAAGTGCCTAATGTAGCCCCAGGCACAGAGAAATCCTCTGATAGTAGTTGGGAGGTGGAGTTCATAACAATCATCAGAAACTTCTGTAATAAAGTGTCCCAGATTGAGGTCACATTCTCTTGGATTTCTTGGTTATGCCTTTATTAAAGTCCTTCTCTGTCCTAATTGCCCACCGTATACTGGAAACCCCTCACACAGCTCTGGCTCTCATTTCCTGTGTCCTACTTGCCTCATTGTGTAGCTTGAATCAGAAGATGTAGAAAAGATTTGTCTGAGTCTCTTTTTTCAAGATGGGTGTAGAAGAATATAGAAATATAATACTGTCTCCTGTATCCCCAGAATTTAAAGCAGTGAACAGTATCTCTTTGGACTGGTTCACGGGACAGTTGTATTGGGCTAGCAGCTTTGCAAGGGTCGTCTGTGCTGGTTTAAGTGATGGCAGAGGCTACGTCAAAATCTTGGAAAAGGATCTTGTGCCAGAACAGCTAATAGTGTTTCCTGCAAAGAAGTAAGTAGTGTTTCTTTTGGAATATAACCAATGATTTTGGATATGTTATCGTATGTGTAGTCTTTTTTAAAATTAGAAGAAAATTTTTTTTGATTGGGGTGAGGTAATTAGGTTTGTTTGTTTATTTATTCATTCATTCATTCATTCATTCATTCATTTATTTATTTTTAGTGGAAGTACTGGGGATTGAACCCAGGACTTCGTGGATATATTATCTTAGATATTTAAGTTGATAAGAGAATACATCAACTGTTTCAACCTAGTCCTTATTTGCTCAAAAAAATTCTTAATTTTGAAGTCTCAATTGGATACCATAAAGCCAAACTTTTCAAAGTCTACTAAGTCTAAGAGGAGAAATCTCCAGCATTCTTAGCAGTGCAGTGATATGAGGTCCATTGGGGAGAACCAGGCAAGCTTGGCTGTTCAGTCCTATAGATGCTCCCGAGGGGATTCTCTAATCCTTGTGCTTTGCTTTTCTCAGGTATTTGTATTGGGTGAATCGAGGTGAGAAAGGCATGAGGACAATTGAAACTGCAGGGATGGATGGCTCTGACAGGAAGGTGCTGACGGTTGTAAACATGGAGGAACCTGCAGGACTGACGCTGGACCATGTGACCGGCAGGCTCTACTGGATCAGTGAATATAAGGAGGTACCGCAGATGGGTCAGGAGGAAAAAGGTAAACCTATGTAGTAGGGGTTTGGTAGGACCGTGGTAAATACAAAGTTCTCTTGAGTCTTGCACCAACTTGGTGAAGCATCTTCTGGCCATGAAAAGTGAGAAAAGCAAGCCCTAACTGCACAGCATCTTCAGGTAGAGCCAGGCTGTATCAACAGAGGTGGGGAGACTTAGTGTGACTTTCTTAAGCTCTCTACAATCAAACTCAGCACTGAAATTTCCTGGTAGTATAGGTCATGTTCTATGTGGTACCTAGGATACAAAACTTTTAAGATGGCAGACCACTTCTCTGGAAGCATGCAGTTACTAAAGTACTTCAGTGTCTGGTACTCACATTTCTAGGTCTTAATATTACAGTTCATGTCATCTCATTTTTGGAACCATCAAACTAGAAGACCAGTAGGACATGGTGGCTGAAAGCCTAGGTTTAGGAGTCGTATTTTTAAGCCTATTTCTTCCAGCTATGATTTCTGGCCACTTTGGTGCCTCTCTGAGCTCCCACTACCCTCTCTGAAAATAGAGAGAATGCCCACCTCAGAAGGCATTTGGAGAATGGAGTGGAAGGATTTGGTACAATGTCTGGATGCAGACAATAAGTTATAGTAGCTATTCGTACAAAATATCTGTGACCCTGGTTTGTATAAGAAGCAGCCGGATCCACAGGCTTTGGCATTAGCCGCCATGGATCCTAACACAAGTTCATCTCTATCAAGCTGATATCAGGTCAAGATGTTTAATCAGTGTCCAAGAAACTGAGGGGCACTACCATGGTCAGCACCTCATGCTGATGCTCCCTTGAGACCCTCTAACCCTTCAGTCCATAGAGACGGTAAATGTGGACGGCAGTGGGAGGCACACCTTTCCTGAGATCTTCTTGGAAGATGAAGTTCCAGTAGGACTCGCCGTATTTGAGAACTCCTTCTTCTGGGCAAATAAACTACAGCTGCTTCGTACTTCACCGCACACCCCAAAGGAGAGAGTGGTGCTACTAAACACTTCTGTATCTGCCTTCTCTGTGCTCCACAAGTCCCAGCAGCCTAAGAGTAAGTCATCAGCTTGCTTTTGTGAAAAGCTTATGAATCAGAACGTATACTAAATGAAAAACACCTAAATAACTACCTTGGTCTGTTGTTGGAAACTGCTATTTTGAGGCAGGGGAAATGTTCTGGGTATCATTCCAGACATAGACAGGACTTCTGAGCAAGATGAACTAAATGAAAATATCTACTGGGAAACATTCCAGGCACATATCTTGCTCTTGTCTAACACGGCAACCCAAGGTTTAACGTCTGAAATACACAAAACAGGGTCATAAGCTGTTCACAGAAGGGCTAGAATAGCTTACTCATGGACATGTCCATTGATAACAGAAAATTTAACCAAGAGTAGCATCCTCCTTATAGGAGGAAGTCAAACATTCACTGACTAGGAGTTAAAAACTTACGAATCTGAAATTGTATGTGAGTCAACTCAGATAATGCTTCTCAAATGGGCCCAAGAAACTAACCAAAGTGGAGAGCCTAGAACCATGACTTACTTCCTATAAGCAAGTTAGACAGTCATTTTGCCTTAATTCCGAGAGGGAAGATGCTTTTGGTTGAAGCTTAATGGCCCGAGCTGAATACAGATAGGTAATTGTAATGATCTGAAAGACAGGGATCCACAGGAGTTCAAAGTCAGTATGCCTAACCTAGGAGGTAACAAGTGTATCGGGATTCCCCTTAAGCCAAAAATGCCTTAACTTCCCTTGAGTCTTAGGTTTTGAACCAGTTTGGATTAAATACATCTGAAATTGTAACTAACCTGTTTTTATTTTAAAACAGGCAGATACCCAGCATTTGTTCCAGGATCTTGCAGCCACTTATGTCTCCTGTCCCCTGTCCATCCCAAGGGCTATAAGTGTGTTTGTCCAGAGGGGATGTTTCTTTTACCTTCTGGTACATGTAGCAGTAAGTATGCTGGGTGAAATGGGTTTGGCTCAAAAAGGCACTTTCCGTGGTAGGTCTGGAAATAATATAGCTTCCATTTTTGGATCAATTGCTTTTATACTGACAACCTACTTTGATAACAAATTTTGTTATCAAAAGAACTTGATTGGTTTTTTATTGTACTAAAATAAGCATTACAACATTACCATTTTAACTATTTTTAAGTGTAGTGTCCAGTGGCATTAAGTACATTCACATTTTTGTGCAACCATCACCATCCATCTCCAGAACGTTTCACCTTCCCAACTGAAATTCTGTTCTTGTTAAACAATAACTCCCCAATAACTGTGGTTGCCCCAGGCCCTGGCAACCACAACTCTACTTTCTGTCTCTATGAATTTGACTACTTTAGGTACCTCATATAAGTAAAATTATACAGAATCTGTCTTTTTTGTGACTGGATTATTTCACTTAGCATAATGTCTTCAAAGCTCATTCATGTTGTAACATGTGTCAGACTTTCCTTTTTAAGGCTGAAGGCTGAATAATATTTTTAAGGCTGAATAATATTTTCTTGTATAGATATACTATATTTTGTTTATCCATTCATCCATCTGTGGAATTAGGGTTTGGTTAAGTTTTAAACCAGGAAAAAAATAGCTTCTATGTGAAAACTTAACAGCTAAGTTGGTATAAGAAACACTCTATAGTCTTCTGACTGTTGTGTATTCTGACTTACGTTTGTAAGCAGTGTCTCCTTCGGTATTAACGTAATTCCTCGTGTTTCTGTTCCATCTTTGAAATGGTAAAGGCTACATTGATTATCCTTTCTACCCAAATTAATTGAATTTTTTTCTATAGAAAATTGAGGCTTTAAGAATAAATGATGTAAACGTTTTGATATTCTAACTACCTTAAAAAAAAACATACTTCAGCAGAGGTAGCTATGGCGTAATAAGCTGCTGGGCCCAACTCCAGACTTCAACTGAAACTGTATTTTAAACATTATATACACTGTTACATATCCAAGTAACTTTCCTTTAGAGAAACAATAGGGAGTTAAAATTCTTTGTACTGAGCCTTGTGTGCTACAAGCAAGGACTTGATGACTTCGCTGAATCAAATGGAGCAGCACTACAGCCCTAACCCTCGTGATTCTGTGTTAACCTTTCAGCAGAAATTCAAAAGGCTCGGTGCCTTGGGAAAGCTGAGCAGCACTGCCATTTGCCCACATGACTCCCTTCTCCAAGGAAGTTCTGAGGGGCATTCACGTCTTATACGTCATATGCGTGCTTCTACAGCGAATTTTATGATTCCTTTGGAGGGGAACCTAACTTTGAGAGAGGGGCATAGCTCAAGGGGGGAGCACAGGGCTTATCTGACAAACAGTTAAAGAATCAATCTCTCCTTTTCCTTGATAGAATTAAAACTAGTGTTTTCCTCTGGCAAGCGTCTCTACTTGTTGAAGGTTGGTTTTATGGGAACTTCTGTAGAGAGAACTGTAATTCAGGAGCATCCTAGGAACATCTATTTACTGGATATTGACTGGAAAAGAAACCTGATCTACTGGACAGATACCCAGGGGCATCTGTTCCACTCAACTGGCTATTCAGGGGAAAAGCAAGAGATTAGGACAGAGCGTACAGGTGAGTTGGGGGTGCCTATTTTAATTTTTTTTTTCATTTTCTAGCTCTAAAATTAACTAGAGCCAAAAAACCTACCTGCTTCTGATTCAAAGAGTGGTCAAAGAGTGGTTTTTAAACTGATTTAATATTGTGTCTGATGTACCCTTGTCCTTACGAAGGGTGGGCAGACAGTTTACAAGGCCACCATGATTTGGGAAATCGTATGGTTGGTGATAGGTTTTTAAAATTCTATTTTTCTGGCCTTAAGCCTGGGTAGGATGGAAACGGACCTTAAATATTTCAACTTTGCATTGCAGATTTTTCTTACACTAATTTAGGAGCAATCTGCAATGCAGATTTCAGAGTAAACTAGCAAGATATTTTGTTAATATGATAATATATACTTTCTCTCCCCTCCCACGCTCCTGCATGGCACACCCCACCCTCAGCTCCCTGTCCTCAGCCTAAATGCAAATATCTGCTTTACAAAAGAGAACTGGGTCTTGAGTTCCAGAGTGAGTAATCTGATTTCTGAATGCCTGTGGAGTGGGTACTTTAAGTACCAAGGATCTGCTTTACTACAGGAAGTGCAGTATTGGAATACGTGTTCCCAAGACAGCCTTCAGAGCAGTAGACTCTACCCAGAGCCCTGCGGGCAAGCCTGGCACATAGAAGCTTTCTGTCCCTGACTAAGAGAACTTTAGGGATAAAACTGAAACAGGCAGTGATCTTGCGGTACATCTGATGGCTGTCTAGGAAACTCTGATCATGGATTTCTTCCCACTTAATTAAAATGTACCTCCCCCCACTGGCTAATCTTTGATAACTGGTTTCTGTGTTACAACTATATCAAGGATTTGCAAAAGACTGACAATTTCTTTGAGTTGGCTCTTGTGGTGAATTTTGAGTCCCTGTGATTGGTAGCTCTGAAACAATAGAAAATATATGTTTTGGCCTCTGTCCCCAGTTAATGGCACAGAGCAACTAAGACCTCTGTAATTTCCTGAGTGATAGGAACCGCTTTTGTTCTAATGAGACGATGCTTGGTGGGCTTTGCAATGCAATGCAAAATTGAATTTAAGGTCCATTTCTATCCTACCCAGACTCAAGACCAGAAAAAGCTAAAAAACCTTATCAGTGCCTCTGGAGGTTGGTTACAGAAAGACCGCTCCATGACTAGAAGCTCAGAACTTTCTATTTGTATCTTGTAGTTGTAGATCTCCTCACTGTCTAGCCATTGTACTGGTAACCTTTCATACTACTGTCCTGGTGTCATTTGAGCTCAATCTCTGCCTTCCTAGAGCAATTTCAGTCCTAGTCATTTGACATGTAATTGATTGATTTTCATCCTTAGCCTATGAAGAAGGAATGTGAATCTGAAGGTGCAGACCTGCATACAAATGCAGGCCTTGCCACTGAAATATCTAACTTATAAAATGCAGTGCCTGTCTACCTTGCCAGGTGGTTGTCAAGTATCAAATGGGCTCATGTGACAGACAAGGTGGGGAACCAGAATAGTCACCATGGGGCTCATTGTGCCACCAAGGTGTGTGGGCTTGTAGGGACTGATCGTTGCATCCCCCTAATTGTCTCCCTTCTATCCTTGGTCCAGAGTTTAAGACAGTGCGTGAACTTATTTGAATGCCCCTTCTAATGGAAGTGACTTGTCCTCCACACAGTCTGTTCAGCTAGTGTGGACATACTGACTGGGAACTTGTACTGGCTGCCCTGTGACAGAAGTGCTGTTCAGAAGACTAGAATCACTGGCCCAGACACACGTACCCTGTACAGAACAGGCAGTGTTATCCTGCATCTTCTTCTCGACTGGCCAAAGAGGCTGCTGTACTGGCTGGAAAGTGGGGAACACTTGCAAAGTATGACCCTTGATGGCAAAGGCAGACAGGAAATCTGGAGAGGCACCTGGACGGCAGACACCCATGTGGCCCTAGACCTCGGCTCATCTAGCATCCTCTGGGCCACCAAAGGGTCAGGTAAGCACTACATAACCAGAGAGGTTGGAAGAAGCTTAAGAGGATGAGTGGGAGTCTTGGGTTTAGTATAAGGATGCCAGCCATTCTTGGAACTCATTAGATGTAGGCTCAAATTCTGACTTGCATAGTTACAGCTTGGGCACAGACATGGACCTCAAGCTCAGCTCTCATCTGTAAGTCTAGACTTATGATTTTAAAGGTAGAGAAACTTCAGAAATAACATAATTTTGAACACTGCAGGCGGCTATTTGTTTCTGTCTCTGTAAGTAGAAGTAAAGGAACCAAACTTCCATTGCAAACGAGGTACAGGTGCTTCAGTTGTAACTCGAGAGCAGGTACAGATTATGCCTTTGTAGCTGAATGTGATAGTCTTCTCACCCAGAAGCCATCCTTGAGAACTGGTAGCTGTGTGCTGACGACTCGGGGTTCTAGGACAGGACACGGAAGGTGGTAAAGTCACATCTGAAGTTTCCATAGGGCAGACCTTGCTTTCCTGGAGCTTTAACACTTTCTTGGATTATCTTTAAAGATAAAACTAAAACCTACAAGACTGTGCTGATTTTCAGTGTGAGGTCATTGAACCTTGCAATCCAGTGGTACCCATCCATGCCTCCTCACTGTCACGAGTTACTTGTTCTGTGTCAGCTTGTAAGAATTTTACTCTGCCTTAGGGTTGCAAAGTCTGAGTCTCCTAAAAAACAGAACATACACTTTGAACAAGACCTGGAGTGACGGGATGATAGCGGCCCACGAGCCCTACCTGGTGACCCTGAACAGAACGGCTCTGGTGCTGTGGAACAGGAGGATGCCAGAGCCCTTCTTGGTGTTGAAAGAGCCGTACATACAGAGAATGATCATCCTAGCAGAGAACCTGGAGGTTCCAGGTGAGTCCTCCCCCGGGGGGGTTAATCTTTGAGATCCACTTTCCCAGGCTCTCCTCGGTGTGTGCTTCTAGGAGAAAATCCTGGGCATCTTCCAGTGTGTATGGGCAGTCATCCCAACCAGCGACACAGCGGGCCTTCTCCCTAACTTGTCCTTGTCCTGGTCCTGGAGAAGTAAGATTCTAACACATTTCTCAAAATCGCTAAGTGACACAAGTTCCTAAGTAATACCCCAAGGAGGGGGTACACCACAAGCCCCTTTCGGGATTCATCTTTCACATTACCATTTTGCAGCTTTCAGTCTGGCAGTAAAGAGATCCATTTAACTTGCTCTAAACCAGTTTTCCAAACTGACTTTACCAAGGAACCCCCTTCCTCATAGCAGTGCCATCTTGCGGAGCACCCTTTGTGGAGTGCTCTGGGTTGTGGTTACCAGGAGAAGCAGCTCTTCCTCCTGCTGAAGCTGGGCCTTGTCATTTAGATTAATCTGCTTACAGCTGGGTTAACACTTTTCATATAAGCCTTTGGTGTGCTGCCAAAAATTCTGATTCTGGATCTTGAGGCAGAAAAAGAAGAAATTTTATCAACAGAATTCAGAGGCTTTCTTGGTAGAAGCAGCCAGAAGTCCCAAGGGAGAGTAGAAGCAGAGCTGGACAGAACCTTTCCTCCTTATTTGTACTTGCTCTGTTTGGGTCTCTCATCTTCTTCTGTTGTCTAAATTGCCTTATTTTTGGATTCATGGGTTTAACCTGATCTTTGAGGCTAAGAAACATCAGGCATATTTCTTAGGTGGTAAAGTGTGCTGATAAAAGGTTAACTTTTTGGTAAAAAATATAGTTTTGATTATTCTACTAACAAATACGTTAGGTTACTGGGACAGTTGCTGAAGAGTACTCACCGGTAACTTTTAGTAGTGTGACTTGGACACCTCAGAGTAATGCTGGTCTCTGTCCTACAGCATGCGATGCTAGAGCAGGAACCAGACAGAACAAGTCCCTGTCTTCAGAAACTTACTTAATTTTGCGTGCCTAAACCTAGCCATGACATGGGTTTTTCGAGGAGGGGATGGTAAAAGCACGTCTCCACTGCTGAAACCAAATGGACAGACTTGCCGATTCACCTGCTTATTCTAGATCCTGAGGTAGAAGGAGCCGCCACATCCACCCCTCGTCCTCCTCCTCCGCCACCCCCTCTCCTCTGCACCCGATCTTCTGTCCCCTGTCGCAACGGGCAGGAGTGCATTTCCCGGGAGAACCTCTGTGATGGCAAGCGGGACTGCAAGGATGGCTCGGATGAAGAGAACTGTTCCCAGTTCTGCAACAGACCAGGTGTGTCACCGTCTCCTGTTCTCGGTCTCTTGGTCCAGGTACTGTGATTCAGCCTTGGGTGCACCATACGAAATGCCAGAGTGTTTACTATAATCACACTGGCTTTCCCTATAAATTATCACAGATAAAAGTCACAGTCTGTCAGAATACTGACTCTGTGATTGTCCATTTTATCACATTTAAATCCACCGTGTTCTGCTAGGGATAATTTGTTGCTTCCTTGCTTCCTCACATTTGCTTAAGTTTGCCAATATTTGCCTTTATAGACTGACCTAAATGGACCACTTATAACAGAATTGGTAGTGTTTTAACAAGTCGTTAAAGTAACCAAACCTACAGGAGGCCTTATTATTTAAACAACCTAGTTCAGCTTACTAACTTAATTGACTCACGCACTTTATTAAAGTTCATTTATGGAGCAACTAAGATATAGAACTCAAACAAGTAAGTTCAAACTCCAGAATGAGGGTGAGTTAATCTAATTATAAACCTACAGGGTGATGAGTATATATGGTGATAGCTTTTGACCCTTTCCATTTAAGGGGTCTTCCAGTGTCTGGATGGAAACAAGTGCATTGAGGAGAAGTACCACTGTGATGGGGCTCAGCAGTGCTTGGATGGGTCCGATGAGTTGGACTGCTGGAAGCCCATCGAAGATTGTTCTCTGCGTTGTGACAAGACCCGCTGTATCCCCAAGAGCTGGCTGTGTGATGGCAACCCAGACTGTTCTGACCAAAAAGACGAGCAAGGCTGTAGTAAGTTCATGGAAGTTCCTTGCAGTATTTTCAACTGCATTACAGTCAGGTCTCCTTACTCGGGGTCGGTATGTTCCATAAAGTTGCCATGAACACTGAATTAGAGGATACTGAATCATTGCTCCTGGGAAAATACAGGGTGAGGGTTCTTTGCTTCTCTGGTCACAACATTTTTGTCAGCCAATCAACATATAACCTTCTTTTATGTGTGTTTCTATTTAAAGACAACTTAACACGAATTGTTGGCTCATTAACAGCCAACACCTCAGTCTTGCCAAACAAAGCTTATTTAATGCGTGTATTTTCTCCACAAGGCACATCGTAGATTTCTTACACTTAGGAACATCAGATAGCCCTTCAGCACTACTCTCGGGGCCACTTGAAACAGGAAAATTGCCAAAAAGTACAAAAAAAGGTGAAAAGCATGGTTCTAAGTGGGTTGCAAAGAGGACACCTTTTTATAGTATGAGAACAGAAACAAGAAGGCAGAATGTTGCCTTGTTCTGCATCAATTAGAAAGGTTGTGTCAGGCAACTCATATTTTTGCTTCTTTGTGTGTCTCTTCAAATGATCATGAAAGTGTGGGAGTGTTGATTTGGGGGGTTACACATGAATTTTAGCAAGTAGGTGAATGTGCAAATACCGAATCCACAAATGATGAGGAGCAACTGTACCCACAACAGAGTTAACAGATGAAGATGAAGGATTCTGAGGTAGAGGGACCTTGGAGATCATGTTTGGAGATAGAAGGGGACCCCTTTCTATGACAAGATTTTCATTAGTGGAAAATCAGCCTATGTATAAAATAACGTATAATTTCTTGTTGGGCTAAAATCTGCCTCCTTGAAGATTTAATTTTGGTCCTAGGCCTTCTCATGGGATGGGCCATCTCATTGTAGACATCATTGCTTCCCCCTCATTTTTTTGGGATACACACCTTTATTTTCATTCTTCTTAATGATGTTTCAAAGGCCTTAATCATGTTGTGGGAGGAAGGTAGAAGAGAGAATTTGGGGAATGCAAGTGGGAAGAAGAGGAGGCTGGGTAAGGTACCATGATAGATTTGGATGTGGAGGTGGGGTAGCCAGAGGGTGTGACTGCACTTGGGCTCGAGAGAAAAACATCAGGAGGAAAAAGACACAGGAAGGAATGAGGGAGGAACCCAAGGTATAATTTACTTCTCAATACATATTTATAGTTTTGCCTAGGACTTGGCCCTTTTCCTTGAATCAAGTCAAGCAACTCCTATCTGGAGGAATTGAGTCCAAGAACATAAGTTGTAGGGTATGTTGGAAATTATGGGAGAATTTCTCTTTTCCTGGATGACATTAAGATCCCAGAGGAAAATCCCACTACCTTACCTAGTCCAGCATCCTTCTACATGTCCTACATGTCCTTCCAACCTTGTCCCCCAGCCCTCGTTCTTCAGGACCAAGAGCATTTTCCAGGCTTGCTTAGTATGTCTTTTCTGGCCTAACACTCTGCTTGAACCACCTGCCTGTCCTAACACCTGCTGGGGCTTAGCTCTCAAGGTGACAGCAGAAGACTGAGGATCTTCAAACCATTTTATCTGCCATCAAATTTCTTCCCTATCTGGCTGAGTTCTTACCTAAAGCTTTGTTTTTCAGTTTATGAAAAATGCAGCACGTCTGAATTTAAATGTCAGAACGGCCAATGCGTGTCTTCCTCCTTGCGTTGCGATGGGAACCGGGACTGCCTGGACCACTCAGATGAAGAGGGCTGTCCTGCCTGGCCCCTGACATGCCTGTCAGGGGAGGTGAAGTGCCCGAGGAGTGGAGAGTGTGTGTTGGCAGAATGGATATGTGACCATGACTTAGACTGCAAAGACGGAACCGATGAGAAGGTAGCCCACTCTCCTTTCAGTAAAATACAGCTGACTTCTAATCGCAACAGTAACACATGCTTCCTAGTAGAAAACTTGGGAAAATACAACAGAGAAGTCTTCCATAATTCCTGCCCAGAAAGCCACTCATAGCTGCATCAAAGTGTCCAAATGGTTAACAGCCTCTTGTTGAAAGTCAAACTTGTAAGAGGTCTTTATTGTAGTAGGTTTGCAAGTGTTAGGTCTTGATTGTTGTGGCTTAAGGTCCTACTTAGATGCTCTGATGCTTTGCCTAATAGTCACGGTGACGTCCACTGGTGCTCCCACACTGTATGAGATGCAGCCCGGGCTTTAAACTATCGCTTGCATTGATCTTAAAAAAAGTACTTATGCCCTAGTGTTCTATTCCCCATCAGTATAATAGGTAGTGTCTGAGGGGCTGAGACTATCTCAAGGTGCTGGAGTATAGCAGGTGCACAGAAGTACCCCCTTCCTTTCTCCCATACATCCTGCACCAGATCTGAGAATCCAAGTCAGGTGCAAAATGTGGTGTAAGTTTTTATTTACTGGAGTATGTGTTAGAAACGGTGGGAAGAATTCTACAGTAGAGTTTCTAGAGCAGATTCTTTTGCTTTGTTTTTTAAGTGGAACTAAGACTTCCTGATTGGTCAGTTTGCAAAATAAGACATTTCTTCCCACTTCCCGCCCACATTGGTATCACCTAGAACTTCTCGCCTGAATTCCAGATGCAGGAGTTTCTTTAATTCATACCACTCGAGTTTTCAGGCTCTGTCTAGCCTTGTTTCAGGAGGGACTTGAGGCTTCCTCTTCCTTCCAGGACCCTTCCCAGGCTCTAAATGCAGGTGTTGTTGACGGAGTCACTCACTGTCTCTTCAGGACTGTGACCCTGAGGAGCTTCGCTGTGGCTCGAGGCAGTGGTCCTGTGCCAGTGGAGACCAGTGTGTGCCTGAGCCCTGGCGCTGTGATGGGCAGAGTGACTGCAGGGACGGTAGTGACGAGGCTGGATGTAAGTGCAGGGGAGAAGGCAGATGGCTTCAAAGGGGCACCTGCTGCTTCTTGGCATGAGCACCTAGCTCAGTGAGCAGGTGCGTTCGCTACAGGCCCTGAAATCCATCCCTTTACCAGGATGGAGTCGTCTAGGATGCATACAAGGGAGGCTTGCTGTGGGAGGGATGTTTGGCTGGGGGCTGATGATGAAAGTAGGCAGTCATCCCCTCCAGGCCCCCCTGGAAAGTGCCAGAGTTCTGAGTTCCAGTGCCGCTCCTCCGCCTGCCTGGACCTCAGTCTGGTGTGCGATGGGAAGGAGGACTGTGCCGACGGCTCCGATGAAGGCGGGAGGTGCTCATCGTCGGCATGTGGCCAAGGGCAATGTTTCCACACCTGCTACCCGTCGCCCCGTGGACCCGTGAGTGGCTTCAGTTCCTGTCCTTTAGCACCAGAGATGTGATTTAGGGAAGTGGGGAGACGTCCTAATCTGGGCTGTCTCTGATGGCTCCTGAAGCTCTGAGTCAGAGTCTGAGTCTGTGGCAGAGCTGTCTGGATCCCTCCGCACCCCTGTGCTTGAGCCTTTCTGGTGAGTCCTGCCTAGCTCCTTTCTTGTCTCGTGTCTTCTGGAACTCTGCTGCCCAGCCTCCTAGAAACTCAACTACCGAGGTCCTTCCCACCCCAGCTGTGAGCTCTGGGTGACATTTAGGGTCACCAAAGCAGCAAGGTTTTTGTGGATCGTCCCAAGAGCCAAAAAATCCCCCTCGTGACGAAGCTTAGGAAATTGAGTACCTCCCCATGGCCGTCCTTTCCATAAGAGTATTTAGAATGACTTGCCCTTAAATTGAGGACTGACTGTGTTCTGGTCTGGAATTATTAGTTGACTGAACATGGTGAACCTCATTCTGACAGGCACGTGGAAGAAAACTGTTCTGATGTCTGGTCACAGTAACATCTATCGGCAACCAGTTCAGCTGTCTACGTGTCTTTCACTTACGGGTTCTGCTGGGGTTCTAGTGTCCTGAGCTGACTCCTTTGTTAACTTGGGACCCCCGGTGGTGGCAAGGGGGTGAGATGTGCGGCAGGGTTGATGAAATGGAGAAGGTGACTGTAATTAAGATGAAGTTGGTTCAAAGAACAGTTTGAGTTGCTAACACTGAATACATTGCCATGTGCTTCTTATATCAATGTTGAGGCCTTTATATCAATGTTGTACTTGTCTTCAGAAAGTCTTAATGTTTTCCAACCTCTTTCAGGTATGTGCTTGTGAGCAAGGCTTTGAGCTGAAAAGCAGTGGCCAAATCTGCGAGGATGTGGATGAATGCCGGAAGTTGGGTGGTCAGCCTTGCAGTCAGACGTGTATCAATACCCAGGGCTCCTACAGCTGTACCTGCCATCCTGGCTACTTGCTGGAGCCTGATGGCCATACCTGTAAAGCAACAGGTAAACTAGAGCTGGGACTATCTCCCAAGCTGGGGGTCAAAGGCTTGGAGGTCCTAGATCTTCCAGGAATATTGATGCAAATCTCTCTTTATCAGGTCTTAAGTGTCCTTGCCTGCTTTACCTGTCTTTAGAACAAAACTAGCACGATCCCAAACTCCCTTTTTATACCTCATATTTCAGACTGAATTCGAGTCTGAAAGCATCCACTAATAAGGCGTTAGTATAACAAAATCATAACTCGGGCCTCTGTTACCATGGGTTAGCCTTACCTAAAATTAGAGTAACTATCTAAGGACCTGACAAGCACTTCTTTCCTGCTCACCTACCCCCAGATATTTAGTTTAAAATGTGGTTTTCAATTTAAGCAAATCATGCCTTTATTCTAAGTATTTCTGAACCACGGCTATTAGCTTAACCATCACATCAGGGGAAGAACCACTTAAATGCCAGCTACCTGGTATGACAGCTCTGGCAACGAGCAGGCAAACACTGCTTTGTCCTCTGATTCCTTAGCCAGAGCTGGGTTCACCATTCAAACTCCTTAAGGTCATGCTGAAAGCAGTCCTTACTTGACAGGTACTGAACCAATCCTGCTCGTGGCAATTCAGTTTAAACTACTCCTCTATGGAATGAGGAGCTTGAAAGAAGATATTCTCGCAACTACAGACAAGAACCTAATTATTTTCTCTATCGACTATGACTTAGTGGATCAGAAAGTCTTCTGGACTGATCTTGGTGCAGAAAGTATCCAGTGGATAAGCATGGATACGAAGAGGAAAGGGACGGTGGTGAAAGGTATGTGCCCTTACGTGGTCTCTCATCTCGCCCTTACTATATACACATAAGCATGAACAATAAGATGAGTGGCCGTGAACTTTCTAAACCTTGGATTATATCTCCTTAACTAAAAGGGATCAAGGCTTGCTAAGTGGTTAGAAATGGAAAGGTGCCATCTCAATAGACATAGACAAACTATCAGCCAGTGACCATCATTTGTAATGGTCATCTTCCTCTGCAAATAGTATTTTGGAGCATTTAAAAGAAGACAGCTCTGATGGAGATGTCTATACCAATGGAAAAGAAATAAACACGGCATGTGAGTCTGCTGTGTGACCTCAAACCTAGTAAAGGCTATAATTTAACCTAAGTACACATGTTGAATAGTTTTTTTCCTCTCTTCAGGGATAAAGTCAGACTGTATAGCGGTTGACTGGATTGGGAGGAATCTCTACTGGACGGACAAGGCAGCTGGTCAGATTTCGGCAATTCAACTGACTGCTGTTTGGAGAGGAAAATCTGAGTACACAATCGTGCTGGACGATAACTTAAACCAACCACGGTCCCTAGCTTTAGATCCCCTAAATGGGTGAGTCCAGGTGTCACAATGCCTGGTCAAGTCCTTTAAGCTTGATGTTCCTCTTTAATTCTACTTTGGTTGTGTTCCCTTAACACAGAATGGGTGAACAGAAACTTATGTGACTCTACTTTAGATGTTATGATGATGTGAGTCAACACAGTAATTTTGAAAGCTCCTGGGAAAAGTCCTTTATTCCAGAAAAGTGAGATGTAGATGTGCTTACTTGGTGGCATGCTTATACTTTCATTTGCTAAGATAAACAAATATACCTCTAAATGGAGAATTTTTATGGCTTCGGAATTGCAGGAAGACGGAGAATGGAACTAGGGATAGTGTTTAATTTACAATAATGTGATTGGTGGTGGTGATGGGGTCAAAATAATTGGGTGATGGGGTTGAGCCCAGATTCTTCTTTCTAGAGTCCTTTTCCTTTGCAAAGGGCCAGAAACTTAGAGACAGCATTCCCTACTTGTCAGAGCTAAGCCCTCAGAATGGCCATGTGTGTATCAAATGGAAGAACAAGACAGAGCAAAACTCAGGATCCAAAGGTCACTGAGATCAGATACCTTCCCTCTGCTTTTCTCACCTTTTCAATACCTCCAACCAGGAATCTGTTAACATGGTCCTCAGGAAATTGGCAGGAGTTTCCTGGAGCATGGAATAGCTTGTGACCAAGAATGAGGTCTGAGGCACACATCTGCCCTTGGAACTAGGCTACTTTCTAGCCCAGAAAAAACTGGCAAGTTCCCTGGATATGTTCCAGGCTAGGGACTAACGTATTTTTTAGGTTTCTTATACAGGTGTCATTATAGGTATTTTTACCCCTAAATGATGAATAAACAATCACCATAAAATTTCAAGGAAAGCCCTCTTTCACTACTCCACAAATTATGCTTAAAGCATAGACCAAGTTTAAGTTTGGACTTTAAGTCAGTGTTTTAAGGAATGAATAGATGTTCTTTCCCATGAGATAATACTTTATCTTAAAGCTGGTTTTTATCCACATAGGTTAATGTACTGGTCTGAAATTGGAGGAGAACCTCAAATAGAACAAGCTGGAATGGATGGTGACAGCAGAAAAATACTCATCAACCAAGGTCTTGGCTGGCCAACTAGCATAGCTCTTGACCAGTTGAGTGGGAAGCTATTCTGGTCTGATGACAAATTTCACTGTATTGGCTCTGCCAATCTCGATGGCACTGGTATTAGTGTAAGTGTTCTTTTGGTGTCAGGCTTGTGTGAAATGTCATGTGCCTTGTGTAAAACTCGTCCCGGAAACCTCACCATCGCCATTTTAGATGCTGCAGCTAACACAAGTCAAGAGCCCCTTTTCGGTAGCTGTGTTTGAAGATGAAGTCTTCTGGTCTGAAATGAAGACACGAACAGTACAGCGCATGAAAAAGGCAACAGGCAAGAACAGGGCCGTCCTCATCAAGCGTTTTGAACAGCCTTACGGACTTAAGGTCTATAGTTTATGCTTCAAAATATCCCCCTAATCCTCCCTGAAAAGGCTACATGTATGAGCTGCCCAAGGACCAACTGGAGTGACATCCATCTCTAATGATTAGAAGGCAAGATTTAGTCATTTGCTCTTTTTAAGGACTCGGTAATGTGTGGTGACATCTAGCTGTTATCTTCCAGGTAATACACCAAGTGCTACAGCCCAGGTCTTCTAATCCTTGTCTGGACACGCGATGTTCTCACTTGTGCCTTCTGAGCCTGAGATCCAAGGGAAGCTGTCGTTGCCCAGTTGGACTCTTGCTTGCAGACGATGGCGTCACCTGTGTTCCACTCAAGGAGTCCGCATTTCTGTTCCTCACGCTGCCCACAGTTATCATGCAGGTACTGCCCTGTCCTGTCCCATGTCTGTGCCTGGGCCATGGTCTACCTCAGACTTTGAGTAATTTGAATCCTCTTGAATTTGACTATTCCAGGGGGCTCTTCCTCTTGGAATATTCTTTAAATACAATTTAAATTTTCATATTCACTGTGTGCTGGGAGCTGTCATGCCCAAAATAAAGTAGCCGGGAAATGAAGACCACTTCTACTGAAGCTTCTTAAGAAATGCTTCATAGCTCAGAACATAGTGAGGCTAGGGATCGGAGAGTGTGTTTAACATGGCTGAATCGTCCAAGTACCTAGCTGATGAGGCAGAGTAAATCCAAATACAAGGAGCTTGGTGGGCTTGCAGCCTGAGGGAACTTCTCTTAAATCATAGGAGGATAAAAGGTACCAACAAGCAAGTCACTCCTAGTATGCCCCAGAAGACTTGTCAACTTTGGTATTTTAAGACGATGAAACAAATTTTGGGGTTGGAAAATTGGCTTCAACTTCAGTAAGATCTGAATAGTGAACTCATTTAAAGAGGAGGGCCTTGAACATATAAATGTATCAAATCCACACCTTTTACATCTTAAACTTACACAATGTTATATGTCAATCTTATCTCAATAAAAATGAATTTAAAAAATTAAGGGGAGAGCCTTTCATAGAGGAGTGGAATCAAGGAATTTTAGGTGCTTGGAGCTCCAGGAAGGGAGAGAAATACTATCTGCTTTTAGAAGATGGAAGATGTGAAAATATGAACTTAGGTATCCTAACATGAATGCAAAATCAAGATGAAGGATTAGACTAGATTCAACTGGTGTCATCCACCTAACTTTTTCCCATAGATTTATCTGAGAAATCTAGAAGCTTTACGAGAACAAGCAACTTTCCCAGAACATAGGATTCTTCCCTTTACCAATGTGAACCAGCTTGCATCGATGGACTACCTTGTGCAGGAGAAGATGCTTTACCTTTCAGAGTGGAATAAGGGTGATATCTGGCTATTGAGGCTGAAAGAATCTGGAAAGCTCTCTTGGAGGAAAATCATATCTGTGGAGGGGACAGTGATTGACCTTGCTGTGGACTGGTTGAGTGGAAACATATACTGGATTGACAGTGAGAATCCTCACATCAATGTAGCTTCCTCCAAGGGCCAGTACTCCGTGGTCTTGTTCAGCGACAGTCTTTACCGCCCAGCCTCTGTCATGCTCCATCCACCGACTGCAACCTTGTGCTTTGTGGACCTGGGTTCCCAGGATGACGGCAGGCATGGCTCCAGCATTGAATGTGCCTCCATGGATGGCAGCAGGAGGAAGGTGCTATGGCAAAAATCCCAGGTCCCTGTGGGCTTGACCTTTTCAGATGCAGGGACCCGAGTGTACTGGGCTGATCCTGGTAAGCAGTTAGCTTCTACACTCTGAATGTGAGTCTGAGGGACCTTGGCCAGAGTGAAATAGTGATGTTCTGCTTTCTGGTCTTCAGCTAGAACTTTAAATAACTTGTAGATCTGAGTTTACATTTTCTGCACAACCTTCCAAACGAATGCAATCATTCCCCATCCTGAGTAGCATACAGTAGCCCAGAGAGTCATGCAGTTGCCTCTTGATGAAGGAATAAAATCAAGAACTTAACATATGTGCATGAGCAAATCTTTGTGTATTACTGTTAGAGTGGAATGAATAAAAACTGGCCTTCAAAGAATGCATGGCAATGCCCTCCTGGAGGGGAGGCAGGACAAGACATAATGAGCTGCAGGATGGAGTACAGCTGTTTGGGCTAAGTGAGATTAACTGAACCTCTCCTTCTAGGGAGAGGACTCATAGAAAGTATTCAACCAGATGGCTCTAGATACAGAGTAGACCGCAGAGGAATTCAGGGCCTTCACCTCTTTACGTATGGCCAAGGCATGATGTTCTGGACAACAGTTGATGATGGTAGGTCTTATTTCTAAATCTGACTGTGATTTGGGGAGCTTTTACTCATTCGGTTATTGTTTATATGTGAATATGCTTAATGTGAATATGCTTAATCTCATTCTGCCTGAGATTTCTGGCTCTCATATGAAGCTCTTGGCTTTGGAGGACACCACGGTATGGTACAGACAGAACTGGGCCAGGAATTGGAATGAGGTGCTATGACTTCTTTGTCAGTTAGTAGCTGTAACACCTTAGCTGTAACATGAGGGCAGTACCATCTCAGTTGACCAAATACACACAGAGTACTAGGTGAATTCTAGAGCATTCTGTCCTTCCTGGGTATTTTTAATATTCAAAGAAATTATCTAAACCCCAGTGTTCTAGTACATTGCTTCTGACTAGTTAAAACTGGAAAGTTCTGTTTAAAACAAATCTTTCTCTTTATATTTCCAAATGCTGGTCTATTGACCAGTTGGGCTGCCCTCATCAGAACTGCAAAAATAAGTTGTCAGGTCCTACCCCAAAGATGCTAAATTATTAGGTGTGTGGTGATACCTTTGACATGTATTTTAAGATCACCTGGTGACTCTTGGTGCAGATGAGCCATTTTCAGAAATGTTGTTCTAGAACAATGTTTAAAATCATTACCCATCAATTGTATGAGCTGCATTTAAGTGTCTCATATCCTCATTTTCTACCTTTGTATCTGGACATATATGAATGTGCTGTACATAATTTCCACCAGATTTTATCTTCAACAAAGGCATATAACTGTTTTTTATTTATCTTGAAGTTTCTTCCCAGAAACAAGATGTAGAAAAACATGTCTCTTCTGTAAAAACCTTGTCATTCAACTGGAGTTTTGGCACATGAATGACAGTTTTTCTACTGAGCAATGTTTTTTGCCTAGAAAGTTGTTGTAAGATAGAATTTCACTTTTGTTAATGATTGTTCACTGGCTTTTGTTTCAGCCCAAATCAATAAAGTTTGGTACAGCAACACAGAACTTTCAGAAAATCGGTGGTTCCAAGTAGACCAGAAGATTATGGATTTAAAAGTTTATAGCAAACTTGGTCAACAGGGTAAGCAAGCTTACAAAGATGGTAACAACACTGAAGTCTATTGAATTTCCCCTGAAGGGACTGCTCCATCCTGCAATATCTCCTTGGAATATCTTTGTGTTTCCCATTAAGATGTTTCTCTGGCAAATTCCTGTAGATCTGTATAACTCTCATATCTTTATGCAGTTATACAATCTGGTTCTGGTGTATAACTAGTCCTATTACTTATCTAGGAGACACAGTAGTGGTAAGAATATTGGGCTGGGGCTTGGGCTCTATTTTAAGTTCTTTTACTGTAGGCTGAATTTCAACTGTGACATAATCAAAATTCCCTTTTAGTTCTAAAGTGAAACTGGTTTTCATCCTACTCACTGTCACTTGTATCTACCTACGGTGTTAACTTATCTTTGAAATATCAACTTGAGGGTGCTCAAATGTGTTTCTCCAACTTTATTATAGACACAAATGGAGTGCCTAATTGAGCGTTTGGAGAGGGTGATGGTGGGCTTAGTAATAGATGAAATTTGTCCCTAGTTGAGATTAACACCAACAATGTGAGCTCGAATAGCTAACCATACCTACCACCACCATATATGATGAATGTACTTGTCTTAAGGGAATGCTGCTCCATTGGTTTGCTTTTGAAGGCTAAGCTTTATAAACTGGTACTAGTCTGGCTTAAACTCCTGAAGTCTTGGTTTTGTTGGGAGAACCTTTTAAGAATTCTTCAGTGTGATAAATTGTCATCCAAGTGATGCTGATCTGTCACTGACTTCTGAGAACCAGAAGGGGGGTCCCTGTCACCTCTGAAGTACTTTTTATCTTCATTATATATGCAGCCTATTCCACAATTCCTAGAATATGTCAAGAGGTAAAACCTCACCAGAAGTAAAAGCTTGAGATATAAACCTTGGAGAACAGTGGGAAGATATAAACGGCTGACTTAATCAGACTTTTGTCCCCCATCCTCCAACCCCCACCCCTGGCACCCACCAATCTGTTCTTTATATCTATGACTCTTAGAGGGATGAGAGAGACCACAGCCTCCATCTTCTCATCTAAAGAGAGCTTTATTTCTAAGCCCACCCCTAGTTCTGATATTGGCTACTTGGTAGAAAGTAAGAGAGAACTTACAGTAGATTTTGGATGAGCCAGAGTTCACCTTAGTTTTTCTTAAGCTGGTTCGTTATCTGAACTCCTAGCCTTCTAAAGCCATCTTTATCCATGAAGAAGAATAACCAATCATTTGGTTCTTAGTTGACTAAAAGAAATTAAATTGAAAAGCTACTTTGGGCAGAACACCTGGGTCCTGTAACTCTGATAGTCTACTTGCAGAAAATTTACAGAAGACCCTTCTGAAACAATCTAAATCAAATTTTTTTGGGGGGGTGGGGATCCACAGGTAGTAACAGTTGTTCAAAAGACAATGGAGGATGCAGCCATATCTGTTTACCAAACCCTGAAGGACAGACTTGTAAATGTCCCAGTGGGTACTACTTGGCTGACATACATAAATGTGTTGAAGCTGTCCAATGCTCTGCGTCATCACAATCCTGTAAGGATGGTCAGAAATGCATTTCCGTGGAGCAAGTTTGTGATGGTCAAGCTGACTGTCTGGATGGATCTGATGAAATGGACTGTGAGTAACTCCTACCCAGGACCCAATACTGGTCACCATGAATGATTTATTTAGTAATATCTAATTCCACAGTATTTCTCAAGATCTTATCCTTTAAATTGTTACCTCTTTATTACTGTATTATTAAACTGAACAATATGAAACTTCTAACAATGGGCAATTGGATATAGATTACGTGGACTCTTTGTAAAAAGCTAATTTGACTCTAGGGTAGGCAATATGATAGTGTGCTCCACAGGGCTCGACAGTTTGTATGTTGTGTGAAAGAGCACTCATCTAACCTAGGTATGATTTAGTCCATGGAAACGGATCACAACTGTGAGCATCACCTAGGGTAAGAGATTGGGCAAACTATTTGACTTGTCTTGATTCCCTGTTTTTAACGTGAAAATAGCACTTTCTATCTCATAGAGTTGTTAATGAATCCAAGAGATTGTGTGTAAAGCTGTTATATTAGTCTATAATACTGTCATATTAGTACATAAATCTTAGTTTTAGATGTTTGTTATAGAAATATTGTGCCACATAGCGTCTTCATGGGAAGGTGTTGTCATGGCCAGTCAGTTGAGTGATCATAATATCTAATTCTGATGCAACCACCAGCCTCTTATTCTATAGCTATAGCTCCACTGGTATCCAAGTCCCTGTGCTGTAGAATTGAAGAGACAGTGGGCTTGGTACTGAAACTGGTCATAACAAATAAAGGAAGAGACTTGGGAAAGGAGTCTTACAGTAAAGAGTTCTCACTGACTTCTCAACTTAAATTCTCATCCTCCTAAAACCCGACTAGCTGGAAGACCAGTTACTACCCCTAAAAACACCTTAAACAGGAAAGATAAGGGATTTTGATTCCCAGATTCCGTCATTTGATTCCTTCATTTAGCAAATGAGGGTGGTTTTGTTGAAAGTCCTGTGTTGGCAGTGACTCAAGGATGGGGGCAAATGACTGAGAAATCTGTCACCTTCACCACCTGGTTTTAAAATGAAACCAGAAACCTAACATCCCTTCACTTGCTCTCCCATTCCTGATAACCTGGGCCCAAGAGTTGGTTCTGCTCCTTAATTATGATTTCACCCTAACTTTTACATAAAACTTTTTAGTGAAATGGTTCTGGCTATATACAACTAGACTGGCTTCCCTTGGATGTACCCTACCATCAAGAGCCCTAAACGCCCAGGAGTGAAAATACTCCTGTGATGCCAGCTTAGGGGAGAGGCAAGAGGCAGTTTTATTGCTAATACTGCTGTCTTCACCCCTTGTAGTTTGGTCTTCCACGTGAGGTAATACTTGTGCCAACAATGATGGAGAATATGGTGAAATGCCTTAAACACAAACTTAATTCTTGGATTTCTCTTTGGTTAGAACCCTGTTGCCTAATCCCTGCCTTATAAGGGCCCCTCCCACCACTGCCACCAAATCTGGTTCACTATTTGCAACTTGTAGATCTCACTAAACCTACAGTTTTTGTGGACTCAAAAAATCTGAAATACTTACAGATAAATTTATATCTTGAAAACCTTTTTAGTTTGGATATTTACTACTTAGATCTACCACACTCATCCTTACAGAGTAAAACATTTTTATAACTGGACGAATCTACCTTGGCTAAAATTCTGCATACTGTAATTTAAAAATAGATTGGTATGACAGACTGCACTGGTCCCAGAATGAAATATTTTAAGTGCCTTAAGATATTCAGCTTTTTATAAGCTTTTAATAGTTTTTTGTTTGGCCAAAAGTAATGGTAGTGATTGTGATTTCAAAAATTCAAACTTATCTGCTTAGGTCCGCTAGAATTCTTGTTCTTCTGAAATAGTACTTAATTGACAGTGACAAACTTGTGTATATGCCCACACTCATACCTACTGTTTTTGTAGGTACCTATCCAGATAAAACTCATTTGACACCTAAAATGTCAGAGGCTGGTGAAGGACTGACACCAAAAGCTGCCCAGCCTGTCCAGGGTACCAAGTTCACCAGAGCTAGATCTCCAGGTCCAGAAGGGATGAATCATCCTGCTAGGAAAACACTAATACCTCTCACTCCTACTCAAGAGAGCAAGACTTCAGAAACCAAGGGAGGAGGAGAGTCTGTTCAGCTCAAGGACTCACAGAAGGCAAAACATCTGCCCTGTAGCAGCGATTTCTGTAATGGGAGGGGAGCCTGTACTATGGAAGGAGAACTGAGGAAATGCAGCTGTCTGATGGAATATGGTGGAGAGTTCTGTGAAGAAGCAGCACGCAGATCCACCCCTGGCTACATGGCCCTCAGCTTAACCATAGCCCTACTGGTTGTTCTCATGGTTCTGGGAGCATTTGTATATTTCAGAAGAGACCATGAATTAAAACGGTGAGTAGCTACTAGTGTCCTCATGGGAGAATTTTATTTCAAAGAAGTCTTATTAATAAATAAATAAAAACAAGATTAATGGGGCTGGAAGTATGAATCTACTCTAGAAACTTGTCCTCTGAGGAAAGACTTGGGCTATGAAGCAGCCTTATGTGTTACTGGGAAAATCATAATTGTGACTATCTCTTTGAGTGAGATCTGCGGCAAACAATATTGTAAGGGGTACGAGGCATGTACACGAGGCTGGAGGTTAGAACTTCAATGAATGAATTCTGGGAGGACAAAACTCAGCCCATAACAGGAGGTGAAATAAAGAAACTCATGAAAGATTTAACGTAAAAGCATTAAGTTTCGTCTAAGAGCAAGAGAGTCATTGAATTAAAGAAACAAACAAGGATAACAAAATGATGATTTAGATTAAGAATGAGCTTAATTAAATAAAATAAAGCTTTAGAGTAGCAAGATATAGGAATGGAAGAAACTGATTAGATAAACATATTGGGAAGGGTCATTGCAGAGATGACCAAAAAAAAGCTTTACAAGTTACATCTCCTCTGTCCAGCCTTCACTTTACAGATAAAGAAAAGGCCAGAAGGAATGATTTGTCTTTACCTAAAGTAACACAGGTTAATAGCTAACTGGTTAATATCAAGATGAACTGAGGTGCTTCCCTTTGGCTTCTGATTGTCAGTCAGGTCTGTCTTCTACATTAAGCTGCTTTCTTAAATTACCTGTGTCCAGTTGCTACTTACCTGTTTTTGGATTCAGTTCTCACTGATTCCAATTACCTAGTTTCCCCTCAATTGAGAAGATGTATCATTTGGAAAGTTAAGTGAATGCCTAGTAATAAATCATAACTGATTTGAGTATTATTAATTCTTCTTCAGTCGCTTTGCTAAAGAGACAATTAAAACGGAGCACAGCCCTCATAACAATAACCTTTGCTAGGAGATAAGTTGGACATGTCTAACCATGTCCCAATCCCAGCTTCTACCTTAAGGAACAACTCTTTTGACTTTCTCTGATTTCTAGAAACAGTAGAGCATCATCAAGAAATTTGACTCGCCATAAAGAAAATGATCAAGAAGAGGAGAATCTGATGAACAGTGAGATTTTTGTCAATGAAGCTTATGATGAACAGGTATGCCTGGGAAGTGTCACTGAGAAAAAGAGGGGGTGAGGTATAGCTACAGAATACCCCTTCTGGAAAATCCTAGCAGAGTGAACATTGTTACTGGCAAATGATGCTACTATGTAGATAAAATTAATGCTCAGTAACTTTTTTTGCTTTCCAACTCTGTTCAATCTTTAGTTGTTTAAACCAAAGTGTAACAGACCTGAAATAATAATTAAGAAATTCAGCTTTTGGTGGTCTTCCAAAAGGAGCCCAATCCTATTGTGGAATGGATTAAGATGTAATTAGTTAGAATTACCGCTAAAACTTATGCTCCCCCCAACCCTGGATCTCTGTGAACTTCTGCATAGCTCAACCATTTCTGTGTTTTTGCTTTGTTTTAATGTAATGCATATTCTCTAATTTCAAGTCTCTTTTCCTACAGGAATTGTTAACCTCTTTACAAACTGACTAACCTGATTAAAAAAAAGGAGCTGAAACATCTTAATAAAAATTGTTTCTATATTTCACTGTGTACTGTTTTAACTTCTGTAACAGTTTGTGGTAAATGGTAACTTCATATTTAAAAGAACTGCTTTTTAAATTGGAGGAAGTCATCTGGTTTTGTTAGTGGGTGTTGAAAAACTGAATATTCATAGGCAGGGTCAGATTTCAGTACAATCTCCATGTAATTTAGGTTCTGGGTTATCCACCGGAGCTTTCTGTTCCCAGGATGCCTGGCTCAGTACTAGTTAGAAGTTCTGGATTTGAATCCAGAATCCAGGCTCTGACGTTAACTTGGAGCTACTTAATCTCTCTGAACCTGTTTCCCCATTTTACAAAAGGGAATGACCTCTCCTGAATCTTTGCTTTTGGGGATAAAGGTCAAGTTTTTGCAGTGCATAAGATATTCAAGTGTTAGTTTCCTAACCTCCCTCTCTCAGATACATTTGGCTGCAAAGTTTAGTACTCACTTCTGCTGACAATTTATAAAAACCGTATGTTTCTCAGGATCTCATCTTGATTCTAAAACTAAGCACAGGGAAATCAATTTTACAGGTGTAGAAACTCAGACAAATGATTTGTCTAAGACTTCTTTCAAGTAAAGTGGGTGGATACTGGTGGGCAGAGTTATAGGTGTGGATCAGAATTCACCTCAACCAGTTCACACTGGCTGGGGAAACATGCAAATGCTACTTAGGTCCCCAATTCCTTCGACTGCTAATATCTCTGCATGTCTTCTTGGATCACTACTTTATTCACACCACATAAGGAATCGAGGGCATGGAATCTGTGATGGGACACAGGCAGCAAAGCAGGAGTATGGTCTTAAGCTCAACAGCACCAACCGTGAGCAAATCACTTAATCATGAAACTGAGTAAGACTAACAGAACCTGTATCAGGCCAATTGGATACTGAATGAAAACACAAAAATGCCTGCTTAGCATAGTACCTGAGACTGATGAACATGAGTCCAAGTTATAATAAACACAACTTGGAAGACTTCTTGCTTGGATCTTTTCTAGACTATTCATGTTCAGTTTCCTGCAGAAAGAATTTGTACAGGATGCCAAGCATAAAGAGGAATCCTGGGCTTAATCCTGTGGGTGTAGTGCATAAAGTAAATTGTGCTATGTAGTCAAGTATAAAAATTCCCAAGTACAGATCAGCTTGACCTGAAGAATATGTACTGGGGGCTCAACTTCCTGAGGCTGGCAGGCACATGCAGCATCATTAGATTGCCTCTGGGGCTCTGCTGTATTTGAGAGAACCCATCTCAGCACCACAGTACCCTAGACCCCTGTCCTCCACAGGGTGAATCTCACATTTCTCTTTCCACCTCTCCCAAGAGCGATCCTCATTGCCAAGTTTGCCCTTGACAAGACTCTGTCTCTATCTGTGCAAAAGTACATAAAAAGGACACAAAAGCATCCTGATGAAAATTCTGCATGGATGATGTACAACAGAATCACCACTTTCTCTGGATGTGCTTAAGCCTCCGCCCTGGCTCCTTAGACCTTATACCTCTACCAGGCTTCCAGAGCTTGTGTCCTGGCTAGCTCGGCCTGCTTCGGCCAGCTCTGTGCTGGAGTGGTACTCCTGGCCCTCCCTTCTGCTTTGCAGACCTATTTCCTGTTTGGACCCCAGAAACACCTGCTATTTGCTCTTCCTGGGGAAAAGGGAGCTGGCTGTAACCAAATCTGTCACAAACACACTCCTCCAAACCTACCCGCTCTTATTTGTATCTTTTCATATCTTTGATCTTTTATGAATGTCTGCCTATCTTACAAACATCCCTCCTGAATCTAGTTTAACATATTCTGTTGGGCTTTCTGTATTCAAGAATCCACAAGACAAATCTGAATGCCTTTTTCACCAGAAAGTCTTAATTTCATGAAAGAATACTTAATTCCTAACTATCCTATCCCCTAAATTGGTTGTAATATGTCAATTTCATAACCTTATATCTTTGGAGCAACAAGCATGTTATGAAGTATAAGAGCCTTCTACATCTCTACATTAGTGGTGGCACATCAACACTGGTGGAGAACTGGTCACGGGAGCAATTTTGTGAACTGGATTATGACTGGCTTACAAAGAACAGTCGAGCATAACTCATGCCTCCTCTATTCCTAAGACATTACAGATGAGCTCTTTGTCCCTGTGGGAAGTGGGGAAAATAAGGAACTCAATTAAAACTTCAGATAAAAATTTGTGTGAAATTCTCACCCCATCTTCCCAATAATAATCGCACATTCTGCTCTCCTCACTAGACACAATAAAATGACCTTTTCCAGCAAATCTTAATGAAGCAGCACTGAACACAGGAAAACATGGTTTAAGTTGCCCAAAGAAGGGAAAATACAGACAAAGCTTGGGGTGTAGGGGGATGCAGTACTGACCAAAAGGCTTGATTCCCCAGTGGGGGCAGGTGGAGAGGATGACTATGACTTAAGTACAAATCTACCACACTCTGGTCCAGTGGTACCAAACATGTTTGCCATCCAGTGACAAACACCCACTCCCGGGTTTCAAGCCAGTGGCCTCGGGCCACAAATTACTTCCTAGGTGCATGATAAGTTGTGTGTCAAGTAAGGAAGCACTTGGGTACAGAAACGGCTTTTAGAGGCACCTTTAATTTATTAAAATTGCTAACAGGCTCTGAAGAAATGTTAGTATCCATTCTAGGACTGCCAAAATAAATAGAAACCGTCTGTGCCCCTAACTTCAATTTAGAGGTAAAATGAGAAAATACACCAAGAAAACTACACATATGAACATTTAAATGATGTGTTCAAATATGACACCTCTAAACTGATGGTAAAAGTAGTTCAGGGATGTGTGTGGTAAAGTCAAGAGGGTGAAAACATAGCCTTGGCTAAATCATGAACAGAATTTAACCTAAGAGTAGATGATACATAAGGAAGAGCCTGAGAGTTTTTGAGATTAATTACAGCCCTTCATTTAGGAAGCTCAGAGTGAAGATGTGGGGTTAGTGTAGGGGAGAGAGAGATCCTGGTTACTAACCTTTCCCAGCACTCTGGGGATGTGATGAGGCTCTGAGGATGAAATATCTTTCTCTGCCTACTGCATTGTGGAAGTACCTATCCATTGGCAGAACAGAATATTCTTCACCATCTATTCATATATCAAGTTGTTTCTATTTGATTCTGAAAATATTCTCTACAACAGATGGAATCTGTTCCAGACTGTACTCCCTCCTAAAAAAGCTATTCGCCCAATACAGGGTAGACCAGAAAATTTCCTCAGACTCACTCAATGGTACCACCAGCTTCTTACCACCCCATTCTAGAGTGAAGGAGAAGCAAAACAAGCCAGTCCCAATACCACTCTGCCAGCTAGTTTTCACTAATATTTCTTTAGCAGGAACTTGGAGTTTGCTGTTCTCTCTGATGCCCAATCTTTTCTTTCTGTTCTCACCTCCTTCCTGACCACCTTTCTTAAAATATCACCCTATTTTCTCCAGCCCTTGACCTTGGTTTATTCTTCTTCATTTGCCTTGTACATGTTTCTCACGCTAGAGTATGAAAGTTCCACAAAGGCAAAGCCTGGAGTGGATTTGCTCTCCAAGGCATTCACAAATGTGCTGACAGAATGACAGGTGCCCCCTCCTCCAAACTTACTGGACCAAGGATAATGGCCACATAGAGGAAGGTGGTTGCTGAAGCATCTTCAACAGCACCTCCCAGAGCCTCTGCACGGAACAACAGCCTGTGAGCTAAAACCTTGCCCCTCCTTAGTAAGGGTGCACACCTGGATCAGAGCTGACTAGCAAACAGGTAGCGCAGGTGCTGTGTTAATGCAGAGCCTACTCTACTTTCACAGACTCCTCAGTTCTCCAGGCAGAACTTGAGTAATCTTGAAAATACATCACCCACTAAATGCAGACACATCCTCTGGATGTCACTAGGATTACAAAAAAATGAGTTGTAATGTCACATCAGAGGTGTGAAGGGTCTGAGGCCAGGAGGCAGTGCTATTTCACTCAGTGCTGTCTCACTGCGGCATAGTTGTTTGGCTAGCGGGTATCAGGCTCAGGACAAGTGCTTGCCCACAACAGCAACGCCTAGGCCCCAGCCTCCTCCAGCATCTTGAGTCTCAAGCCCATTGTCAGTTTGTGCTGCTGGAGCACAGGACGACCCTCAGGCCCAGACCAGATCCTGGCAGACACAGGAGTCTCTTTCCAAGCCATCTTGAATATTTTTATAGCAAAAGGAAGTTTGTATTTCTTAAAGGGAGTTTGGTTTTATTTCTGTTGATAGGGCAAAAACAGAGTTCTAGCTCTTGGCAACAAATCTTAATCACCAAAGAGGAGGTGTTTTGGATTGAAGCCAGTGGAGAATAAGAGGGCAGCGAGAAGTAGAAACACACAAAGTACTAGTTTTGATTGTTTTTACCAAGGCTCACTTAGAAATATTTGCAATTACGATGTAGGCAAGTTTCAGAAATTTCAGTATTTGCCAGAAACCAAGTATCTTTACATTGTCTGCTACGTCCTGACTTCTCAGGTGCCCAATTCCTGCCTTTTGAGGTCTCAGCTGAAAAAAGCAGGGTCCTTTTCTCCATTCCGGCTCTGTTCCCTAGATCAAGTTCCCCTAACTCATTGAGGTGGTAGCTCTCAAGAGTCTGATTGTGTGCTGCCAGTGGGATGGACATGTGAGTGAGGCACCGTCCCAGTGAAAGCCATGCAGCTCCAAAGAGGGTCTGTGAACCATCAGCACTGGCATCTCCTGGGAGCCAGTTAGGAAATCAGTTCCAGGACTCACTTCAGACCTACTGAATCAGAATTTGCATTTGAAAAAGATCTTCAAGCGATATGCCAGCACATTAAAGTTTGGTTGCAAAAAGAAACAAGGGAAGTGAAACTGTATTAACCCTTCCACTGCTAACAAGCAATACGTGCTGTTTAGTTAGTTCTACTATAGCTCTGTTATCAGTGCTTACTGAACTGAATGTTCCAACCCCAGAATTGGCTACCAACAGCAGGTTTTAAAGACGAGATTCAGTCCGTTCAAGGCGCCCTTAAACCAACCACTTGGAATTGGAGCCAGCCCTGTTGGAGATTTAGTCTCATTCATGGAATACACAGCTGCCCACCTGTGATTTCAAGCAGCACTGTTACAAGAGGAAAAGGTTTAGTCTCACCTCATGTAGAAACTGGTGCTTCTAGTTTTTTTCAACAATAGACTTGGCTTTGCATAGAAAACAGCATGAACCTGAAAATAAAGCAATCAGGGATTGAAGTGGGGCCCGCTGGCTACTTTTAGTAATCTTACGCTAAGAGGTGCAAAGATCTGAGTGCTAGATTTCAGGAACAGTGCGTAGGCACCCAGGAAATTGTTAGTAATGAATGCTTAAACTCCCAAAGGTTGTACCAGATACAAAAAAGCTTTTGTGAGTATAATGAAACTCTTGCTTTCAAATATTATTTATAAATAAGAGATAGATACAGATGGATGTTAGCCTAAAGTGATTGTACCAAATATTTAATATACAGTACTTTAGATCCAGGGTGAGGTAGCAGAGAAATAGAACAATATAGCATTAGTCCCTTCATTCTCCTTCTGGCTTCTAGAAGAGAAACTCTGGAGTGACCTCAACTTTTAAACCAAAAAGAAGTGATAAAAAAAGGTAAATCCTATTTATACATGAAGAAATGTAAATACAAGTTAATCAGGTTATTTCGTTCCATAAAAGCCACTAAAGCTGCTGGTATTTTCATGGCTCTACATTTATTCTAAGAGCCTCACTGAAATATAGCCAGAAATATACTGGCCTCTTGAGTTTGCATGAAAATGAATTATACAGTGGGGAAAAAAATAATTGTATTGATGCAGGATTCATTGGCATTTCAGAATGTTGTTGTTTCAAGGTGTTAAATCAATCTTGAGCCTCTATTTGCTGATTTTGACACCCTGTTGTTATTTTTTCAGGTCAACATAATGTAAAGTCTCCTTTTTTGTATCTTTCAGCCTAACATATGAAAAGCCTGCTGCTCCATAAGGGGACCTTTTATATCTCTTTCACCTAAACGTATGAAAAGCCTGCTGCTCCGTAAGGGGACCCTGATCCCTCTGGGGAGGAACACTAAACTCTATAAAAAGAAAACCAAACCCAACCTGAGCTAATCATCCCGTCTCAAGGAGTCGACTTTGGCCACAGGAAAGTAAGATCGCCCTCCAAATCAGTTACAGGAATGTGTCCGGGGGTCCGACTCCGAGCCAGGTTTTTCCAGTGGGAAGGTAACAGTCAGGTTCAAGGTTGGACCCTTCAGACAGGGCCTGACCATTGCAGGCTGGGGGCGCCGCTTACAGGTCAGAGTCGCAGGGCAGCGCGCTGCCGCAGGGTCTGGTGCTAAGGGAGGACCCGCCGTGGTGGGAGTCGGGAGCCTTCTCTCCGTCCAGCACATCCACCGGGTTGGTGTACGCCTTGGGCGGCGGCCGAGGCATCGGAAAGCCGACCTTGCGCTGGCTGGAGGCGCCGATCTGGGCGGGTCGCGGCCGGTGCTGGCCGTCGCTGTAGTACTTGATGGCTGGCGTGAGCGCGGGCTCGGGCCAGTCCACGTACACGGTGCTGATGCTGCTGCGGCGCAGGTTGTCCGGGGTCTCCTTGCGGCAGCTGTGGCAGCACTCTGCGCACCAGGGCGCGAAGCTGAGCGCCAGCGAGAAGCCGCCCAGCAGCAGTAGGCAGCTGCCCAGGTAGCCCAGCACCAGGCTGTAGCCGACCTGCACGGTGACCGGGCTGGCCTGGACGGGCAGGACGGCGCGATCCGCCAAGAAGTGGTTGTACCAGGAGACTGGGATGAGGCTCAAGAAGCCTGCGGCGAAGAGCAGGACGCCAGAAAGGCCGGCCAGTGCGAAGTGGGGCTCGTCCTGCCAACAGCGCACGCCGAGCGTCGCCAGCAGCAGCCCCACGGCCGTGATGGCCAGCGACGTGATCATGAGTCCCCGCGCCACCCGCACGGGCTCTGCCGTGAAGTAGCCCAAGTCGTCCGGCTGGCCGCACTGGCGCTCGCGGCTGCTCTGCTCGCGGCACATGTCCCACAGGCCCTGGTACAACACAACGTCCACCGGCTGGTCGAGAAAGCCCTTCACCAGCCGCCAGCCGGGCGTCAGCGTGCTTGTCAAGGTGAGCAGCAGCCCACAGGGCGCGAGCACCATGCCCAGCGTCATCACCACCGGCGTCCGCATCCTGGACGGCGCACCTGCCGCCTCCTGCGCCTCCGCCTTGCGCTCTCAGCCTTCGCGCCCCGGGAGAGCGCCTCAGGCTCCGGCCCCCCGAAGTCCGTACGCGCGCCAACGCCGCCGCCGCCGCCGCC